GATTTTATTGTATCAAGAAAACAAAGTCAAAGATTATTCAAAAACATTTCAAAGTAAAACACATCCCATTAGACGTCCATTGACCATATAATCCGACCCATTTGGACTAAAGTCCATATGGTCATGACCATAAATGATCATTTTTGTAATGGGTTGGGTTGGACAATGGTCAACCATCCCATTTGACAGTTCTAGAGATATTGGAATAAAAGTGGTTCAAAACTTGAAAAGCCTAGAGCTTCGAATAAAAGTGGTTCAAAACTTGAAAAGCAATATTTCAACCGAATGCTAAAGAAGCCTTCCATCTTGGCGTTATTGCTCAATCCCTATATAAATACCAGGAGATGTTAATCAAGCAAATCCGTGAGTTCCACGTTCATTTAATTTTTTTTCGACAACAACATGGAATGGTTAGATTTACGGCCAAAAGACCTCACATAATTCACATAAATATGTTCTTCTCTTACTATTAATTTGGCCATTGTTCTGAAATCTAAATCGGAGAAGATCACTTAGGAGTATGGTTGAATAAACTTTGCTTACAATGTGGTTGCACCACTTTTGATGCCTCCCCACCACAAATTGATCAAATCATCTTTGAGAGTTACTTACCCAGAATATTATGATCTCTTTCCAAGATTTTTAATTTATATTAAAGCTATTTTTGATATAATCCTTCAATGGACCTAGGATAACAAAATGAATGGGGCCGTAAACAAAGCTCAATGCCTATTATAGTTAATCATATACTATCTGTGTATATATATGGTTTGTTTCCTAAATGTCCCACATCGGTTGTGTTAACACAATTCTAACCATGTATATACTTCCACACAAGGTACATGGCTTGTCTCTTCGGGACATCCGATAAAATTGGAACGATACAGAGAAGATTAGCATGGCCCCTGCGCACAAACAAATCGAGAAATGGTCTAAATTTTTGGAGCTTTTTTTTTTTAGTTTAAAATAAAAAATTGACACAAGGTTATTGGAAAATTAAGCAAATTACCCTATGTACAAACTATGCCTTAAGAAGCCTATAAGCGAGACTTTGTGGCGACTAGTTATTGTTATATCGTGATTTAATAAGGTTGCGTATGAATACATTTTGAAAATGTAGAAGTGAAAAGTGAAAACCAATAGAAAAAAAAGAGTTATTTCAAACAATGAGTACATGGCGGTATTCACCGAGGCTCTTGTAGTAGTGCACTGCAACACACATGGGCTACGCTTGAGAGTCCTGAAACAGAGTTTATTATCATCTGGATCAATGTTTCACATATCATGTAATATTGAAACTGAATAACTTGATTTTTTTTTGTTTTTTTGTTGTCAACAACTGAATAACTTGATTACAACATATAATTTTCATGCTACAAGTTTACATATGAAATTAGATTATGTGTATTTCACATTAACACTATTTACACCGTTTCAACTTTGATGAAACATGTCACAAATACAATGTATGAATCGCAAGTGATAATGAAGAAGAAATGGAGTGAATAGATCTGAAAATAGTAGAGAACTAAGCGTGTACAAAAGCTTCTTCTTGGTTTTCAGTCTCTGCGTTGGTGAGCGTGAGTGTACGCTGAAGCTTCCGAGGAGAAAAGACCTCAACTTCTACCACAAATGTAGCTGTATAACCGGCCGGTGATCAGAGAGTTTAATCTCACTTCTTCAGTAACTCATAAGCTTCATTCCCTTTCCATACCAAATAATGCGATCACACCTGAAGTCACACTTTCAGTTCTAACTAAGTACATATCACTTTTATTTTGGTACATTGTAAAAAAAAAGTTTGTATCGAGTGTGGGAGAGCGGTATACCAGGCTGGTGTAATTTATATGGGCATAACCAAGGTCTATGTCTATCTATACCATCGAAACATTTCGAGCAGATTCTCAACCGTCTCAGTTTAGAATTGAAGGAGAAATAGAATCATTCAATAGAATAATTTAAACAATTCTTAAATTTGAGAAATAGAACATTCTAGAGAAGAGCAAGCCCAAGAAAATCCCTTATGTTACGCAAAAATTTTAGGAAACCACTTCAAAAAAAAAGAAGGAATTCCTAGTTTTTTATGCGGAAGACGTGTCTACACATATAAAAAGAGTTTTTGCAAGTGTCAAACCCTAATTTCTATTGCAGCCGTTTGTTGAAGTTTGTAAGAATGACTACGATAATTGCTTGCTCTTCTGCCAAAGCTCTGAATTTTGGATATTGAGTTCCAGTTTTTTGCAGGTGTAGATCGATCGCTTTCTTTGTTTTCAGAGATGTTATTGGAACCCTAGAGAGTATATCCTCCTCTACTACATGCCTTGAAGGAGGCCGATCTTCCCGAGGATATGGTAGAAGAGGAGATACTCTTTAGGGTTCCGATGATAGATCTCTGGAAACCCCGTGCGATCTACTTGCAAAAAATGGAACATTTTATCCAAATATCAGAGTTTTGGTAAAGGAGCAAGCAATTGATATGGTCATGGAACTCATGGAAGGTTATTGATCTCACTGAATTAGATCAACAAAGATTATTTCCTTTCAAAACAATAAGTATCGCCTTTCAAAGGCACGATGCGTTGAAATCTATAGTTGTATCAATGCGGCGTGTCTAAATATTTATTTTTTTTGGCTCAAGGGTAAGTAAGAAAGATTGAACATATTTTACTTGTGCATGCTTCGATTTTACAACAGAGAGATTCGGACCTTGCCTGCCTTTGCCTTATGGAATGGTGAAGGTATATATGTAAGCTCGCGTTGTTATATTGTCGACCACTTGTATGCTGTTCCAAGCTTAGTGCAACTATAGGGCAAGAAAGTGATTATTAATTAGTTCCATTACAATACTCCATTTGTTATTGCATCGTTCTTTTGTTCCTTTCGAACAACTATTAATTTGTATACTGCTATTTTAATCATCTAAGAGAGAATCCGGCTTTTGCAAAAAAAAATAAACCTTTTTTGAGGATTTTTCTTATAGGCTCGATGTACCTATGTGTTCTTGATTTCTAAGGAGATAGCCCTGAACCTTGGTGGATGAATCATGATCGTGCGAGTGATTGGCGGCTACGACTCTCTTAGAGTTTCTGGCGCTGTAGAGGATCGTTACTCTCGGCTGGGTCTCTTCCTTGTTGGGGTGGTCGCAGGGCGGTCTGACAGGTTCCCTTTTTATTTGGGGCCCTGTTTCC